GGGGGAGTTGAAATGGTTCGCGACTGGGAGGTGCAGTTGTTTATTGCGAACCGAGCGTAGGTGTTCTGCAAAGCGGTCCCCGAGCCTCTGCTTGGTTTCAGTTTCAACCTTGGGAATGAAAAGTAAAGTGATCCAAATCTGGTAATTTGACATACTTGATAGGAGTTAGCAGAACTGTTGATCTGCCTTAATTTTCTGCCTTCACAGGGCACTTTGTGACACAAATGATTGTGGAAAGCTTACAAAGGAGCAGTTTGCCTTGGCACTACATTTAATAAACCAGAAGCTAACTAAAGGTATTGATCCACCTCAGGTTCTCACAGCAGAGATGATGCCTCCCTCTGAAAGTACACAAAAGGTAATTTGAATTTTCATCATGGTTTCAGCTCTGCAGTAGTAGGACCAGCTGTGAACATTTCTTGTGAAGATTATGTCATTTGAGCGATTTGTTCCAACACCAACTCTTGGCTTCATTTTCATGAGAAATAAAATTGTCAGCATTGACTTGAGTAATGATTCAGACTTGGGTATATTTATAATAATTCAAGTTAAATTATTATTGCATCCTTATTATTATAAACTTAAATGTTGTTAATTTCTGTTGACTTTGCAAAATTTGTGATATCATGTTTGTAAGGGTTTGTGAATATATTAGGGAACAACAGCTGTTACTTTCATTAAACTTCTCCCTTTTGTCATATGATGATTTCATACATTCTTGTAACTCCTCTCACCATTTCCTTCCTGCCATTTGATGCAAGTCTTGAGACTGAAAGAAGTTTGCAGCATAGAAGGAGATTATTTGGCCTATCGTGTTCATGCTGGTCAACAAAGATTTGACTAAATTCTGAAGGAAGGTCTCTGGACCCAAAAATGTTAACACTGCTTTCCCTCTACAGATGCTTCCAGACCTGCTGAGTTTTTCTAGCAATTTCTGTTTTTATTAAAGATTTGACTGTACTCACCCCATTTTCCAGCTCTTGGCTTGTAGCGTTAGAGACTATGGCAATGCAAGTGAAAATCTAAATACTGCTTAAATGTTATTAGCGTTTCTGACTTAAACACCCTCTTAGGCAGTGAGTTCCAGACTTCTGCCATCCATTGGGTGAAAAAAATTCTCTTCAACTCTTGCCATTCTACATCTTAACTTAAATTTGTGTCCCATGGTCTTGACCCCTCTATTATTGGGGAAAAAAATACCGTGTTATCCACCCTATCTTTGCCTCCCACAACCATATCAGGTCTCCTTTAAACGTCAACTGCTCCAAAATAGCAACCACAGCCTATCCAGTCTTCCCTCATAGTTCAGACTATGGGGAGGCGATGGCCTTGTGGTGTTATTGCTAAACTGTTAGTCCAGAGATGGAGGTCATGTTCTGGGATCACTGTTCAAATCCTCTGTAGTGGAATTCACTTGATTTTGAATTCAATTAAAATCGGGAATTAAAGGTCTATTTATGACCATGAAACCATTGTCGATTGTCAGGGGGAGAAACCCATCTGGGTCACTAATGTCCTTTAGGGAAGGAAACTGCCATCCTTCCACCATTCCTACATGTGACTCCAGACCCACAGCAATGTGATTGACTCTTAACTGCCTTATTGTCATTTGGTAATGAGCAATAAATACTGACTTGGCCAATGAAGCCCACATCCTGTGATTGAAATAAAACAAAAGAGCTTCTATCACAAGCAGCATCCTAGTAAATCTCTTTGCAGTACAAACACATCTGTAATGTGGTGACCAGAATGGCATTCAGTACTCCAATTGTGCAGCATAACTTTGCTGCTGTACAGAGTACAAGAGCATGCTTGCAGGGAACATCCAAACTGATTGTAAAAGCTTCTATTAGTGTTTGAAGTGAAAAAGATCAGTGAAGAAAAAATGTATTCTGGCCTTAGAGTCAGAAACAGCAGATGTTTTAGTGGAGATCAAAAAAATGGCCAACTAGTTGAATGCTTATTTTCATTGAATATTCATAAAGGAGGACACAAATAATACCTCAAATGTTGGGAACCTAGGGCCTAGTGAGAGGGAGGGACTGAAGGAAAGTCAGTATTAGAAGAGAAATGGTGTCAGATAAATTGATGGGATTAAAGGCAGATAAATCCCCAAAGCCTGATAATCTATATCCAAGACTACTTAAGGAAGTAGCCCTAGAAGTAGTGGTCATCTTTATGGTCATCTTACACGATACTATAGATTTGGAACAGTTCTTACGGATTGAGGGCTAGCTAAGGTGACCCTATTATTTAGAAAATGCAGTAGAGGGGAAACAGGGGATCATAGAGCAGTTGCCCTGAGATCGTTAATGGGGAAAATACTCGAGTCCATTATAAAAGATTAAACAGCACAGCACTTAGAAAGCAGTGACAATCGGAAACAGTCAGCGTAGATTTATCAAAGGGAAATTATGCTTGAATATATCTACAGGAAATTTTTTTGAGGATGGAACTAAGAGTTGATAAGGGGGAACCAATGGATGTGGTTTTCTTGGACATTTGGATAACTTCTGATAAGGTCTCACGTAAAAAACTAGTATGTAAAATTTGAGCACATGGGATTGGGGCCCATGCATCGGTATGGATCGAGAACTGGTTGGCCGACAGGAAATAAAGTAGGAATAAACGGGTCTTTTTCCGAGTGACATACAATGACAGTTGGGTACCACAGGGATCAGTGCTTGGACCACAGCTATTCACAGTCTGTATTAATGATTTGGATGAGGGATCTAAATATAATCTTCAAGTTTTTGACAACACATAGCTGGATGGGAGATTGAACAAAGGAGGATACAGAGATGCTGCAGTGTGATTTGGACAGGTTGAGTGGTGGGAAGATGCATTGCAGATGAAGTGTAATGTAAAGAGCAATGTCAGGTTATTCACTTTGTAAGGAAAAACAGGAAGGAAGATTTCTATCTGAACGGTGATAACATGGGAAAGGAGGAGGTGCAACAAGACGTAGCTGTGTTGTACAAAAGTCATAGAGTCATACAGCAAAAGTAAACATGCAGGTACAACAGGCAGTGAAGAAGGCAAATGGCATGTCGACCATCATAGCAAGAGGATTAGACTGCAGAAACCGGGATGCCTTGCTGAACTTGTACAGGGCCTTGGTGAGATCACACTGGGAGTATTACATGCAGTTTTGGTCTCCTTATCTTGGGAAGGATGTTTTCTATCTAAGGAGGGAGTGTAATGAAGGTTTGCCAGATTGATAGCTGAGATGGCAGGACAGATATATGAAGAGAGATTGGATCAAAGAGGACTATAGTCACTCGAGTTTAGAACAATGAGGGAGCATTGCGTGCAAACCTATAAAATTCCAACTAGACTAGACAGGGTAAACAGAGGAGGGGTGTTCCTGATGACCTGGGAGCACAGAACCATGGGTCACCGTCTAAGGATACCAGGCAGGTCACCTCGGACTGAGTTTAGGAGAAATTTCTTCACCCAGAGAGTAGTGAGCCTGTGAAATTCTCTGTTACGGAAAGCAGTTGAAGCCAAAATAGTGAATCTTTACAAGAAGGAGTTGGAAATAATTCTTAGAGTGAAAGGGATCAAAAGGTAGGATGAGATAACAGGAACAGGGTACTGAGTTAGATGATCAGCCATGATCATATTGAATGGTTGAACAGGCTCGCAGGGATGAATGGCCTCTATCTCCTATTTTCTATGTTTCTATTAAATCCATGTAGATCACCTCAAATGCATTGCCTTCATCAGCACTTCTGAAAAAACTTTATCAAATTTGTCAAATATGACCTTCAAAGAACAAAGAACAAAGAAAATTACAGCACAGGAACAGGCCCTTCGGCCCTCCAAGCCTGCGCCGATCCAGATCCTCTATCTAAACCTGTCACCTATTTTCCAAGGATCTGTATCCCTCTGCTCCCTGCCCATTCATGTATCTGTCTAGGTACATCTTAAATGACACTATGGTGCCCGCCTCTACCACCTCCGCTGGCAACACGTTCCAGGCACCCACCACCCTCTGCATAAAGAACTTTCCGCGCATATCTCCCTTAAACTTTTCCCCTCTCACCTTGAAATCGTGACCCCTAGTAATTGAGTCCCCCACTCTGGGGAAAAAGCTTCTTGCCATCCACCCTATCTGTACCTCTCATGATTTTGTAGACCTCAATCAGGTCCCCCCTCAACCTCCGTCTTTCTAATGTAAATAATCGTAATCTACTCAACCTCTTTTCATAGCTAGCACCCTCCATACCAGGCAACATCCTGGTGAACCTCCTCTGCACCCTCTCCAAAGCATCCACATCCTTTTGGTAATGTGGCGACCAGAACTGTACGCAGTATTCCAAATGTGGTCGAACCAAAGTCCTATACCACTGCAAGATGACCTGCCAACTCTTGTACTCAATACCCCGTCCGATGAATGAAAGCATGCCGTATGCCTTCTTGACCACTCTACCGACCTGCGTTGCCACCTTCAGGGTACAATGGACCTGAACACCCAGATCTCTCTGTGCATCAATTTTCCCCAGGGCTTTTCCATTTACCGTATAGTTCGCTCTTGAATTGGATCTTCCAAAATGCATCACCTCGCATTTGCCTGAATTGAACTCCATCTGCCATTTCTCTGCCCAACTCTGCAATATATCTATATTCTGCATTCTCCGACAGTCCCCTTCACTATCTGCTACTCCACCAATCTTAGTGTCATCTGCAAACTTGCTGATCTGCAAACTTCCTTTAATAAAATCCTTGCTGATCATCCTTGATTAATCTGTGTGTCTCCAAATGCACATTTTTCTACTCCTCAGAACTTTTTTTGAAAAACTTTCCAAAAACTGAGGTTAGACTGACTGACCTGCAATTTCTAGGTCGAATCCTTCCGCCCTTTCTTAATAATGGAACAAAGTTAACAGTCCTTCAGTCTTCTGACAGCTCAACTTTGGTCAGAGAGGATTTGAAAGTTATTGTTAGGGTTGCGCTTGCTCACACTTTCTCTCGCCCTCCGTCCCTCCGTCCCTTTCTCCCTCTCTCCCTCCCTTTCTCTCTCTCGCATGCTCCCTTTCTCTCTCTCGTATGCTCCCTCTCTCTCTCTCGCATGCTCCCTCTCTCTCTCTCTTGCGTGGGCTGTCTCACCCCACTAATCCCCCCCCGCCCCCCCCCCCAGTTCTCTTCTCCCACTCCCTCCAATGTTCATCTGCCTTCCAGAGACTGACTTGCTCGTAGCTTCAACTTCTAATTCCATTTCAGCTTCTCTCCCCTCAGAAGTACTTGTCAGGATCCCATCCCTCTGCCAGTATTGTTTAAATCTACCCAACAGCATTCGTGAACCTCCCTGCAAGGATGTTGGCCCTGTTCCAGATGTTATCCATTCCCTCTCTACCTGCACTTCCTCAATCTACAGGATGGCCACGTCCTGAAGCATGCTTTCCATGAACTGCTCAGCCTCAAAAATATGCCATGGTACCCCCAGCTGCCACTCGATCTCCAAAACCCAGAGCTGGAGTTGCTCCAGCCAGAAGCAGTCCTTTATACATGATCATCCAGTGCATTTTGCCACATAGTCCAGAATAGGCTAATCATGGGCCTGAGTTCCCCAGTCAAATCTTAACAAATAGAATATGGACCTTTTGCTTTTATTTTTACCTGAATTGCTACTTAATGTAAGCTAGCAAATCTTATTTTTCTTTATGTCAGACAAATAACCAGAATACCTTCACTCCCTCAAGTGAAGGAGTTTAGATTTGAAGTTCTAATAGTTATCTTCATAAAGTTTTTAAGTTCTGCTTACAGTCTTAGTTCAATGTCTAGTCACGAGACAAGCGAGAAAATGTTACTTGCTTGCTCTCCTATCACAACACAGTTCATTTTGTCAAAACAGCTTTGCTACCTGTCTGTCTGCTTCTGGGACCTCTCCATTCTCGTTGCTTCTTTTAAGCTTACTGCTGCTGATCCTGAATCCTACTTTGGTCCACCGCCGGTCTGCCTGCTTCTCTGTGAGGATCATTAAATCATCCACTCCTCTTGGTGGGAACTGAGTAGACAGAAAAGAAATGTATATTTCTTTAGAAAAACCTCCTTGAGAAGCTGGAAGAACATGTTTCGTTCAAATATGTGTTAGTGGAAAAACGATATTGTAACATCGTGTTTGCTGTAGAACAGATTCTAGCAATAACATACTTATCAAAATTCTGTGAAAAATATTCAAAGCTGATTCTAAATTGATGTGAATATTTACAGATTTTCCAGACTCTGTTGACAACTCACAGTAGTCCCAGCCATCCAGTTTTTGACTTGGTCCTTAGTAAACAAAGCAAATTCCTCTTAAGAGTTGCATGGTGGCTTGGTGGTTAGTATTGCTGCCTCACAACACCAGGAACCTGGGTTCAATTCCAGCCGATGATGATTGTGTGGAGTTTACATGTTCTCCCCATGTCTGCATGGGTTTCTGCCAGGTGCTCCAGTTTGCTCCCACAGTCCAAAGACGTGCAGTTTAGGTCGATTGGCCATGCTAAATTGCCCCATAGTGTCCAGGGATGTGCAGGCTAGATGCATTAGCCAATGTAACTGTAGACTGCTCATTGGAGGGTGGGTGTGGACTCAATGGGCTGAATGGCCTCTTTCCACACTGTTGGGATTCTATGAATTTTTACAATTGTTTAGTATCATTGTGAATCATGCAATATAATGTTTCTTTGCGAACAATGACAGAAATGTCGACTTGATTATGACAAACAACAAAAAAAATCTGGGAACTCTCAAGCAAATCAGCATCTGTCCGAAAAACGAGTTAGCTTAACATACTAGCAACAACCCTCTTGCGAACTGAATACTGAGAGGCAGTCGGGTATTTTGATAGAATTTACAAAAAGAGTGAGAGAAGGACATGAACAGGTAATTCTGGGAATAGGAAAGAGAAGTTAATATAAGTTGAAGATACTTTCAAAAAGCAATAGATAATAACAGAGATGTGGAATACTCTGATGTAGTGAATGCTCCACTTGAAAGTGGGAAATAGTAGTGAATTTTGTTTGAAAATTAAAATAAATTAGTGTTTGAAATTATGATGGAAATGCTGGAACGTGAACAGGAATTGCTGGAAAAGCTCAGCAGGTCTGGCAGCATCTGTGGAGAGAAATCAGCATTAATGCTGTGGGTCAAGTGACCCTTCCTCAGAATTGGGCTTCGCGCAGCTCTGAGGAAAGGTCACTGGACCCGAAACGTTAATTTTGATTTCTCTCAACAGATGCTGGCAGACTTGCTGAGCTTTTCCAGCAATTTTTGTCTTTGAGTCTGATTTACGTCATCCACAGTTCTTTCAGTTTTTGTGGAAAGGCTGGGATTCAGTTGCAGCTAAGTACTGAAGACAGTCAAGCCTATATTAAGAACTTTATTAGGATACCCAGGACATATATTAGGTCATTTTTCTGAAGGTTGTGGTAAACTTGGCCAAAATACTTTGGTTCCCATGATTGCACTCTCATCGCTTCTTTTCACAACAAAGAGATTGCATTTCATTTTCACTTTACTCCATTATGCTCTGCTGATGTGCTGACCTTCCTTTGGTCTTTTTGCACTTTTCTAGTAATTTCATTTTAATTCCTGTTTGCATACTTGTTTCATTTTTCAAAAAAAATCTTGTATTTTTAAGGTTACATTTCTCATTTGGTTAATTAGTTGCAAATTTCTGTTGTGTTTGCCATCTATCTGTTGTATATTTTTGAGTATTCCTTGTTGTGGATGACAATCTGCTGATACCTTTTAACTTCATGACTGTTGATTGTGATGTAATTTGTTTTCGTTTTCCATCCATTCCCTTTTTCCCCTCTTCCTCAAAGTTTTGGACATTGCTTGAGTTTATTACAATTTATTGCTATCTGTTAACTGATAAATTAGGAATATTACAGCCAGGAGTTCAGTTTTTTCGACTGGTGATACAGCATTTTTCACCAATCATTGTACGTTGTTCGTAAAGTAGGACTTCAGTAAGGAGAAAAATAAACAGTGGATGGCAAGAATGTTTTAGATTCAAATTAAAGTTTTCATCAGAAACACTGAAGGAGACAAATGTGTTGCTAACAGTCTAATGCTTCATTTGTCTCTGGGCTTTTTTTAAACTCCTTTGTGGACTTTAAGTCACTCTTGAATTAATGTCCTTAGTAAAACAACACAATTGCAAGTAGAAATGTGTTTTCTGGGTATGCTTTAATTCTTTTCAATAATTGTGTTCTGGAAATTCTGGTTTCCATTTTGATGTGATGCTGCTTGATCCAAAGCAAATATTCACTAAAAATGTGTTTCTTGGAAGTTTGATTTTCCACAATTAATCCAGTTCTGTTTTGTAGCTTTACTAATTCTTGCTAAACCTTTCTTTCTTGCATTCTACTGGCCTCTGCTTTGCTGCAGGCTCTATGCCTTTCTCATAGTGCCAGCCATCCTTGCTGCACTGCTTTGATGTCCATAATATGTGAATAACGTTGGAAGCCTAACGTAACACTTCTTCGTTAAAAATGCAAGGTTAGCATTATTATTTACTGTTTAATCTATCATCTGTTCACCTTCTTTTGTTCATAATAGCAGATTTCTTTTTCTTTTTCAGATAGCTTTTTTTGTTCACTTGAGATTTTTATGAAGCACGATTTTGGAGAAAAATTTATGTAATCAATTAGGAAAAGAATTCTGGTTTCACAAACTTCCATAGATGTTCAATACTAAACTAAACTTTTCTTCTTTTAAACTAAATCATCATCTGTTATTGTTCTGAATTAACAAATGAACTAACAAGATTAAAATGGCAAAGGACAACATTAATAAACCATTTTTCAGATATACGTTTTGCCCATTTTTTTTTCCCTGTGCTCCCAGTTAGCATTTAGGGTCAAGTGTAGGACGGCTAATGTTGTTACAGTTGTCTTTGGTTGCATCCTGTTGTACTGTTTCATAGGCAAACAGATATTTTGATCTGGTGCTCATATTTAAATTATGGATGCAACTTGGTAAGTCATGCCTTTGGATTTGATACCTGATGGTATGATTGAGCCAGTTTTGGTCATTTTGCGTTGTTTGATACGCTGGGCTGGCAGTTTGATCTGCTTCAGGTCCAGCATTAAGCTTTAGAAAGTTGATTTTACATACGTTCTTTTTAACCTATAAAATATTCGCTAAACTATGGAATCGTGTAAAGCTATGAACTTAAAGTTGGTTTTAAATCTACACGTTTATTGTTCTTGAAGGCTGAAATAATCTAAATTTTGCTTATCACAGAACGGATCAGCCCTGAACACTAGAACTGACTTCTCAGCCATCAAAGAACTTGATTCTATACACAACGAAATTGCTGATCTTCACAGGTAAACATTGCATTATCACTGAAAATGTACAACTCTACATTTCACAAAAATATCTCCAATTGTCAAGGCCATGTGATAGTTTAATATTGTAATTATTTGCTATTCTACAAAGTAACTCCAAAAACGATGTCATGTTATAATGTTATAATTATTGATAATTTTGTCATTGTATTTTTAGATTGGTTCACCACCACCATCACAAAGGCAATTAGGGATAAGAAATAAATGTTGGCCTTTCCAGCAACTCTCAAATTCCATAAGCAAATAAACCAAAAATTTTGTTATTGTGTGCAAAGTTGCGAGGTGCTGGATCAGTGCAGGTCATCTTTATGGGCCTACGTTACACCACTTTCACTCTCTGCATTCTACCTTGTCCAAATCTTCAAAAATTATTAGACTTTTGAGGAAGCCAGAGCATTTGATTGAAGGAACTGCTGTCTGGTTGTTTTTGATACTGGAGTATATTTTAAAGTGTGTTTCATTTGGACAATGCAGAATAAGTCTTGTCAAACAGCTTTTTAAAATATGGCATTGAAATAATTATATATTTTCTTTAATAGTTTATCTCCTATCATTTCTCTGTTTGTAGTTACCACTTGTTTGATCCTAAATCACCACAACTGTGAAAAAGGAAATAAACAATCTGTTTATATGGCTAAATAAAAACCAAAAGAACTGCAGATGCTGTAGATCAGGAACAAAAACAAAGTTGCTGGAAAAGCACAGCAGGTCTGGCAGCATCTGTGAAGGAAAAAAGAGTTAACGTTTCGAGTCCGGTGACCCTTCCACAGAATGGGTTCTGAGGAAGGGTCACCGGACCCGAAATGTTAACTCTGTTTGTTCCTTCACAGATGCTGCCAGACCTGCTCAGCTTATCCAGCAACTTGATTTTTTGTTCCTGTTTATATGGCTGTCAGAGTAGAATCGCTTAATCAGTCACCAGGGAAAGGTGAGAGCAGTACAAGTTGTTTTAGCTACCAGCACACACTTTTCACATTTTCTGTTGGGAAACAGCTAACTTTCACTTGGTGCTGATGGCTTCTCCAACCCCTGTGTTGCAGCTGAGATCAGGAAAGAGAGGAAGAAATAGAGGGCAAAGATGTTGGTATCCAGAAATTATATTTCCTGATCCCTGAAAATGTTTACTATGGCTGGAAAAAGAAAATCACTGTTGAAGATTTTCATAGTATAACATTGCATGTTTTTAAAGAATCAACAAAGAATTTTATATAGCCTTTTGTGTTTATGATATGACTTGTGCATAGTCGTCATTTTGTAGCCAGCTCTGGCAGCTAATTTTTGCATGTTGGTCCTTCAAACAATAATGAGACAAATAACCAATCAACCTGCTACTCTCCAGTTTAAGCCTGAGTTTATGTCTTGCTGTATTTGGTCACAGACTGCTTCACTGTCTGTGCAGTTGCATATGCTACCAAACACACTGGGTCATCAATGAACATCCAAACTACCAAGTTAATTGATGAAACAGTTGAAGATAGTTAGGTCTTGGACATTACCCTAAGAAACTTCTGCAGTGATGTCTGTGGCTGAGATGTTTGGACTTCAATAACCGTAACCATTTTCCTATGTCCTGGGTTTGACTCAGATCATGGGAACTGTTTTCCCTGATTTCCATTTGATTTCAGTTTTGCTAGTGGACTTTGATGCCACACTCAGTCAAATGCGAACTTGGTGTCAAGGGCAGTCGTTCTCATCTCTGTTCTGGAATTCAGCTCTTTTGTCCATGTTTCCAAAGACGATAAGATGTAGGAACAGAACTAGGCCATTCGGCCCATTGGATCTGTTCTGCTATTCAGTGAGATCGTGGTTTATTTGATCATCCAAAAGTCCACTTTCCTGACTTATCCCCTTAACCCTTGATTCCTTTACTAATTAAAAAGCTGTCTATCTTCGCTTTGAATATGATTAATGATCCAACATCTGCAACCCTCTGTGGTAAAGAATTCCACAGGTTTATTACCCTTTAAGAAAAGAAATTCCTCTTCATCTCAGTCTGAAATGGGTGACCCCTTACATTGAGATTATGTCCTCTAGTCCTACACTCTCCCACAAGAAGCAATCTCTTTACATTTACCAGGTCAAGCCCCCTAATAATCTTACATATTTCAATAAGGTCTCCTTTCGTTCTTCTAAACTCCAATGAGTACAAGGCCAATTTATTTGAACTTTACACACAAGAAAATCTCTCTGTAGTGAACCTTCTCCAGACTGCCTTCAATGCCAATATATCTTTCCTTAGAAAAGTGGATCAAAACTGTTCAGTGTTACAGGCATGGCTAGTTTTAGTGGTCTGACATATTTAGAAAGACCTCCTTTATTTTTATACTCCTTTCTCTTTATTTCAAAGGTCAACATTTCATTTGCCTCACTTATTCCTGCTGAACTTGGATTCTAGTTTTTGTGATTCATGCACTATGCCCTCTGGTTCCCTCTGTGCTCGTTTCTTTAGGCTTTCCCCCATTTAAATAATATTCAGCTTTTTTTTTCTTCCTGTCATAACTTCACATTTTCCCACATTATATTCTATCTGCCAAGATTTTGCCCATTCACTTAACTTGTCTACGTGCCTCTGTAGACTCTTTGTATCATCCTCACAACTTACCTTCCTACCTATTTTTCTGTCAATCACAGTTAGCAATAGTGTATTCAGTTTCATCATCAAAATCATGAATATATGTATTGTAAATAAAAACATAAGAACCAGGAGCAGGAGTAGGCCATCTGTCCTTCGAGCCTGCTTCGCCATTCAATAAGATCATGGCTGACATTTTCTTGGCCTCACTTCCACTTACCCACCCTCACCATAACCCTTAATTTCTTTACTGTTCAAAAATTTATCTATCTTAGCTTTAAAAACATTCATGAGGAAGCCTCAATTACATCACTGGGCAGAGAATTCCACAGTTTTCCAACCCTTTGGGTGAAGAAGTTCTTCCTCAATTCAGTCCTAAATCTGATCGCCCTAATTTTGATGCTATGCCTTCTTGTTCTCGTTTCACTCACCAGTGGAAACAACCTCCCTGCTTCTGTCTTATCTATTGCCTTCATAGTTTTATATATTTCTATAAGATACCCCCTTCATTTTTCTAAATTCCGATGAGTATAATCCCAGTCTATTCAGCCTCTCCTCATAAACCAAACCTCTCAACTCTGGAATCAACCTAGTGAATCTCCTCTACACCCCTTCCAGTGCCAGTACATCCTTTCCCAAGTAAGGAGACCAAAACTGCACACAGTCCTCCAGGTGTGGCCTCAGCAGCACCCTGTACAGCTGTAACATAACCTCCCTGCTTTTAAACTCAATCCGTCTAGCAATGAAGGACAAAACTCCATTTGCCTTGTTAATTACCTGTTGTACTTGCAAACCAACCTACTGTGATTCAACCACAAGGAGCCCCAGGTCCCTCTGCACAGTAGCTTGCTGCAATTTTTTAACCATTCAAATAATAGTCCCTTTTACTGTTATTCCTACCAAAATGGATGAGTTCCCATTTATCAACATTGAATTCCATTTGCCAGACCTTCATCCACTCACAAACTGTCTATATCCCTCTGCAAACTTTGAGTGCTCTGCACACTTTGCTCTACAACTCATCATAGTGTCGTCTGCAAACTTGGACACACTACCTGTGGTCCCCAACTCCAAATCATCTGGTAAAGTGTAAACAATTGCAGTCCCAGCAGTGATCCCTGAGGCATACCACTCGTCACTGTTTGCCAATCAGAAAAGCACTCGTTTTTACCCACTCTTTACTACCTATTAGTTAACCAGTCCTCAATCCATGCTAAAATATTGCCTGTATCTCCATGAACCTTTATCTTATGCAGCAGTCTTTTGTGCGGCACCTTGTCAAATGCCTTTTGAAAATCCAGATATACCACATCTACTGCTCGTAATGTCTTCATAATGAATTCCAGAAAATTAGTCAAGCATGACCTGCCTTTCATGAACCTATGCTGCCTCCACTCAAAGGGGCAATTTCTATCTAGATGTCTTGCTGTTTCTCCCTTGATGATAGATTCAAGCATTTTCCCCACTACCGAAGTTAAGCTGACTGGCCTATAATTCCCCATGTTTTCCCTACCTCCTTTTTTGAACAGTGGCATCAAATTGTCTGTTTTCCGATCTGCTGAAACTTCCCCAGAGTTCAACGAATTTTGGAAAATTACTACAAGTGCATTTGCCATTACTCCCACCATCTCTTTTAGTACACTGGGATGTATTCCATCAGGGCCAGGAGACTTTTCTATCTTGAGCTCCATTAGCTTTCCCAACACCACCTCTTTTGTGATAATGATTGTGTCCAGATCCTTACCTACCTGAATCTCTTTGTCATGAATTACTGGCAAGTTATTCATGTCCTCCACTGCGAAGACTGACACAAAATACCTGTTCAATGCCTCAGCTATTTCCTCATTTCCCATTATTAAATCCCCCTTCTTATCCTCTAGCAGACCAATGTTTACCTTAGCCATTCTTTTTTGTTTTATACATTGGTAGAAACATTTGCTGTCTGTCGTTATATTCTGAGCTAGTTTACTTTCATAATCTATCTTACTTTTCTTAATAGCCTTTTTTGTGGCTTTCTGTTAACCTTTAAAGTTTTCCCAATCTTCTAGTTTCCCACTGGTCTTTGCCACTTTGTATGGCTTATCTTTCAATCTGGTAGCCTCCCTTACTTCCTTAGAGATCTGTGGCTGATTAACCCTTTTCCTACAGTCCTTCCTTTTTCACTGGTATATACTTTGCTGAGCACTTTTAAAAAGTTGCTTTGAAAGTCCTCCACTGTTCCTCAACTGTTCCACCAGAGAGCCTTTGCTTCTAGTGTACTTTAGCCAACTCTTCCCTTATCCTATTGTAGTCTCCTTTGTTTAAGCACAGGACCCTGGTATTAGATTTTATCTTCTCACTTTCCATCTGTATTCTAAATTCAACCATACTGTCATTGCTCCTTCCAAGAGGATTCCTAACTATGAGA